CCCCAAAACCCCAAAACCCCAAAACCCCGATTGACTCAATCGTCTCTTATAAATTGATAAAGTAAAATAATAAATAAAAACAAATTATGAAAAATTTTGAATTTCCAGGCTAGGTTCAAGAAAAAAATATAGCCCGAGAAAAATAAAAGCCCGAATAGAAGCCAGTATTTGGAGCTTTTGGTAAGAATTCTAAAAGTAAAATAGCAAGTATGTCAAAGCAAGAGAAAGAGTAAAAAGAGATGAAACTCAAGCAATATAGAGATTTGCTAAACTAGTAAGAAAGAAATGTAAATTCTGATTAAAATCAGTTTCAGCCAAAAAGACTACAAGCTACTAATCAGGAATGGATGGTAGAATAAGCAATTAAAAAATCATAGGCTCCATAATAAGCCCTGATGAGTGTGAATATCAGCAAGAGACAAGAATATATGGACTCAGATGATGTTGATTTCAACAACAAAGGCATCTAAGCTGCTTTCTAGAGACCAACTACAGCTGCGATCAGACCATAGAATTGAGGAGAAGCTGTTGCAGTAAAGTAAATGGTATTCTTTGATGGAAACTAAAATAACATTGAAGACTAGGTAAAACAGGCAATGAGATCAGACGTCAGAGATTTCAACAATAACAATAAGCAAAATATAAAGTCAAATAAAGATATTAAGAGTTAGGTTTCTCAGACTAGTTAGATAATTAAGCATCAGAATAGACTCAATGAGGCTAAGTAAAAGCAACAATAATCTTACTACAAATCTCAGTATCACTATGAAGAAGATTTTGAGGACGAGAAAAATGGCATAAAAACCAATAAGAAGTCAGATAAAAATTTGCTTATAAGTGGCACTGAAATGCATGTACACTAGGGTGACCCAACTAGAATGAATGCAGGCTATACAAATAATAAAAGAGACTATGGTGCTGGAAATGAGGGCGTAGGATCTTACAACATGCTTGGCGGGTAGTAGGCTAGAGCTATGCCAGCCACACTCAAGACTTCGAATGCTTCTAGGTTTTACAAAGGCTACTAGAAGAAGTTAGAATAGCATCACGATGAAAAAGAAAAGCACTTTGAGTCTATTTATGGGAACAGCCAAATAGGAGAGGATCAACATTAGAAGGAGAACAAAAGTGTCAATAAGTCATAGAAAAGAGTCAGGCCACAAACAGCAAAATCTGCAATTAGGAATGGAGGAATAGGTAGAGGGGCTGGTTCTAATGGGATTCCAGGAAAGAGCTTGATTAAAGCAAGTGATTTTACCAGTCAGAAAAGTAAAAGGGATTTGATGCAAAATGACGAGTTCGAAAGGTAGAGATCTGTAAGGAATTTAGAATAGATGTATGGCAAGAGTGAAATGATTGATCAGTACTATAACGACAAGGAGTTACTTTAAAAGAGGGACGAAACGAAGAAAGAACTGAAAATGCTTCTCAAAAAATACATGGCTGACTCAGATCATAACACTATCTGTGCTATGAAAGTAGGAATAGCTCAGAGAGAAGTCAATGAACTGCATAAGAGGATGGACAAAGCAGTAAAGAAAATAGAAGGCTGTGAAGATGAATGTAATTTAATCATTGAAATTGAATTTTTATTATAGTTGAGAGGACTAAAGCAGATGTGCTAGGATTGAATGATTACCTTCACAGAGATAAGTTTAACGCTGATAAATTTGAATAGAATGTTGAGAGAGGCCTCTAGTAAGCGAGAATAGCTTGGACTACTGATGCTGGAACGATAAATGATAGAATTAGAGACTATGAGAAGATATTTGATGATCCATCTAGACTGCCTCAATATGATGAGAAAACGAGAGTCTGGAATCTAAGCAGTAAATTTAACCTTGAAGAAAATGATCAGGCAGATGATTTCTCTATTCCATATATGCAGCATCCATTCTTAAATAAAATTCTTTGATAATAGTTTCTGAGATGATAATTTTTATACTTAATTTCATGAATTATAATATCGATATACAAAGATGAATTTTTTATATATATTTTCGCTTTAATAATAATTCAGAATGTCCCAACTAAATTTAAAATAGTTTAATTTAACATAAAATGAAGTTTCTAGTTAAAATAGACTCGAAGAAAAACATGGCAATGGATTCGATACTTAAAAATCTCGATGGCTAAAATACAGCCCCAAGCAACAATAACACCAGTGCACTCCGAAAACTGAATCTCTAGAAAACTGGTGGACGCATACTAATGGATGATGAACGGTATAACAAAGAATTCTTCGAATCAAATATGAACCGGTCGCACTCAGTGTCACATTTATCGAAATTTCATCAGAAAAATGTAAGTCTACCTTCTGCTGCTAAGTATGATAACTCAACTTATGTCTCCAATAACCTAAACAACTATGGAATGGAAGGTGTAATGCATATGTCTAGCTCAGTCGCCAATCTGCTTTAAAAAGACAAAAACTCATTTGCAAATGTGCTGGGAGCTTTGCCCAAAGGGGGAAGTTTTCATCTTAATCCGAATTTCAACATTAATACTATCGACAACACAGAGGCAAACATCCTGTATATGCTCTCACCTCTAGAATAAAAGGTGGTGCAAGTTGATAATATATTCAGACAGCAAAAGGGCTAGATTAGAGATTACTCTAAGAACAATTCCTCTCACAGAAACTATTTAGAATCTCTGGCTAAGGAGAAAACATTGAGTTTTAGCAAGGACGATCTCGTGAGGATTTAAGATAAAGCTAGAAATTTGCATTGGCTAAGCAGTCATGAAGAAAACCCAGATCTGCTTAGACCTAAAGAATACTATATCAAAGAATTGCCAAAACATAGGCCTTCATTCAACACAAGTTCAAAGGATACCAATAGACCACAGCAATTTAGTAGATCAACTAATTAGCATGGATACAATACAAATAAAGTAAATAGAGATAGCTAGTATGATGCAACGAAGTCCTATATGGATGATTAATCTTAGCTTAAGGAATTCAAGTATAATCATACTATCATAGAGAGAAATATACTGCTAAACAACTCTAGTTCTTCTTAAAGAGGAAGAGGAGATTCAACTATAGAGTCAAATAAGGAGATGGCTGAAAAAGCAGTTAAAGATTATCTAGTTAAGATCAAGTGCATTGACCCAGAACAAATGAAAGTATTGAAGAAAAAGTATAAACAGAAATTCATGGCTTAAGATCGTTTAGCTAATAATACAACATAGGGGAGTAAGTCTATTGAAGCAGCGAGAATGCATAAATCAGCCTCACTCCCTCATATTAAAGTGACCACTAGAGAGGTGCAAATACTTAAAAAGGTAAAGGCCAACATAGATAGAATAAACAAGGATTCAAAAAGTCTAGTTAAGGGTAAACATTCTCATGATATGTAGTAGTCATCCAGGAACAACAGTAAAAGTATACTCCGCAGTAAACAGCATTAAAACTTTAACAATGAAAGTATCTTATAGAATACCATCAATTAAACTTAGTTCATTCTCTAGGATGCCATTGACAAGTCATAATAACAGAAAGAGAAGGACCTTGCCAGTAAAAATTTCATGATGAATGTTATACATAAAAACCAACTAATCGACTAGAAGAACTACGAGCTCTCAAATGACTAATTCAAGGGGAAAAGCATTTAACAAGAAATGAGCCAGATCTATCAAACTTACTCGAAAGAAGCTCTTGGAGAGGTGTCAAAGATCAAGAATGACATGCTTATTTAGGCGTTTAAGAAGAAAATTGAAAAGGATATTGAGAAGAGCAGCAAGTAGTCAGGCTAGAGTAGGAGGAAAAATAATGTCACTATCGCTACTAAAGATCCGTATAGCTTTGAGGACACACCAGCTAATATCAATTTGATTTAGAGAGCCTAGAAACTTTAGGAGAGAAGAGATATGATGGATTCTTAAGAGTCTGCAGAGTTTAAAAACAACAATTCGGTGCTGAATGTTTCTCAAAAAAGACATATTTATATCCTCAATGATGAAACCCAAATTGACCCCTAGAATGAGCAGGTAGGCAAGTTTAAAAGCCTAGGAAACAATCTAAATCTTAACTTTGAAACAAATAGCATCTCCCACATACTAGATTTAGATTAGTCTTTGCCTTAAAGTAATCATAGTATGCTGCATGGCAATCAATACAGAAACGTTAAGACATAGTAATAAAAGATCGAGGAATTCCTAACTGACACTAGAAATAAGATAAATAAACTCTAGTAAGAGAATCATGAGATGCAGTTGATGAGTAAGGCTTAGATAAATGGAGAGTAAAACTACTAGCAATAGTTTTAAACTTTGAATCAGCAGGTGTTCTCGCTTGTCAAAAGTAACGAAACACAGGAGCTTCATAGATTCCTTAGGAAATATGGAAGTGAGTATGCATCAATCATCGACAAGGTAAGATAAATTTAGTGTTACATTGAATAGCTTGGAGAGACCCCCTTGCACTGGGCTGTGAAGAGAGGGTAAACTGAATGTGTGGAGATTTTGCTGAATCATGGAGCAGACCCGATGGCTTAAGACACTGTACGCTTACTTACATTTAATCTGTTTGAATTATAGTTTGGGAGATCAGTTTTGGAATTTTCAGAGAAGAACAAGATATTGGAGGTTGACAGAATACTGAAGAAGTTTGTTGATGGCAAGTACGAGATTAATCACTAGAAGTATGATGCCAGAGAACTTATACTTGGAGGTGCATCGCCAAATAAGAAGAAGAATGTAATTGCAAGTGATTTGTGAAATAAGAAATACTGCTTTTGAAATAGATTATGATTATTAATAAAAGCATTGAATAATTGATCATAATAAATTTGGTGTTGGGGTTTTGGGGTTTTGGGG